AGAGAGAGAGAGAGAGAGAGAGAGAGAAATCTCATCGAAATATTATATTTATATATTTCCGAAAAAATAAAAAGGATATATAAGCTAATAGAAAATATGGCTTCAAAATGCTAAATTAGAACATGAAAGTCAAAAGTTTTGTTTTTATATAATTAAATTAATTGTGCATGGTGGCGGACATAACTTTATATAGTTGTGTTACAAGTAAATCATATTTTACAGCTTTCTTGAGACCCGCAATTAAAATAATTGCGGACCCCACATTTTGTTAGAGAGCTGTAAATGTGTATAGCACTTTGTGCTCTACATATATCATTTTCCAACTTTATAACTGAGCTTGATTCTACGTGCTAATAATTTTCCTTACTAATCTTTCATTCAATTATTTTTTAAACGGTGCATTTAATTAGTAATAGTTAACTCTCGAACAATTTTATTTGAAAGGGTTTGTTCGATGGTAAAAACAATTGTTTATGTGTAACTCGCTCTATAGCTTCTAAGCAAATTAGACACGACCAACCGCTTAATTCGTTTCATAATTGATGCCACTTTTATTGCGTTTTTACAGCATTATACTTTTTAGGAAATTGTAAATTGGAAGTGGGTATAGCACGTGCATGTTTGGCTAAACTTTAGTAGATAAGAAAAATTACTTATTTTGATAATAATTCTTCTCTTATAATTAAAAAGGCATCATTTTGAATTAAAAAAATTAACTTACTCAAAATGAATTTGTTTAACCATAAACAAATATTTTTAGATAAAGGCCATCTAGGGCAGTTGGTCAGATCTAGTATAAATCATATATGGATGGTAGTTGAAGTTGACGGCTCTTCCAAGGGTCCCTCATCTGAGATCCCCGGGAAAAAGCAAGTCCGAAAGATTGAAAAATAGGGACTAATACTTTTCATTTCCCATCTCATGGAAAACTTTTTTCACTCCGCTTAACCTTTTTCTCCTCTAGGGGGCTTTTAGTGATAGGCTCTATAGGAGTTGGACAATCTTATTTGGTATGTAGAACTTGGCTGCTATTCTTTTCGTTACAAAATACAGAATTTCTATCTACATTATTCTTATTCTTTGAATTGAAACAAATTTAGAATTCTTAATTTTCTATCCATTTCACTGACAGGATTCATCACTACTTTAGCGGCTAGGCCAATTATTCCCAAAATGGGTAAATCGCCAATCTCTGGACTATGTAATATGTTGGGTTACATGCGGGCATTTTACTAGAAGTTTTTTATCTACCATTTGTGCGATTCTTGTTGAAGCATATACTTGGGGATAAGTGTATGGTGGACGATTTTAAAGCAGACTCCTCATTCATTAGGTAGAGAAGATTATCAAGATTTCGTGATTCATTGTCGAACTTATTCCAATTCCAAGAGCTCGAATCGAATCGGTATATCTTCGTTCTAAAGAGATTTGATTCGAAACTCTTACATGTCCAAGGTCCAATAGGAAAATAATTTCGAAGGTTTTCCCTTATTTTATCAGTGTCAACAAACAACTCGAAATACTTCGACTTTTTTAGAACAAGTCCAAGACAAATAGTAGTGATTCTAATAATTTTTTTTAACATTATTTTGGAAATTCAAGGACTCAATCGTATGAATATATGATATACAGGAGTTCCAATTCTATCGGGAAAGAAAGGATCCTCACTCACTGACCCTCCGCCAATAGGAGGCGTCATGGGATCCATGTGGCCCTAGACATCAAATAGAGCTCAATATTTTTTCGAACTTTTCTAAAATAATAGGGGGGCTNGACTAATGTAAACCTAAAAAATGTATGACAGGATGTGACATATACCTTTTGTTCTAATTTTTCTGAAAAATAATTGATTTGACACTCTAAAGAAATTGAAAGGAAGCATGATGGGTGTTTCTCTTCAAATCCAGCCACAAATCTTGTAGGCATGGAGTCGTCTATTTCAATCAAATAATTAACATCTTTTAGCATAAATATGGTATAAATAATGTACAAGTTATCTAGTCGAGTTCAATGTACGTACGAAAACTACTTCTTGTTGCATTTAGAAGCCCTAAATTGATGAAAAACACACGAACTCCCATGAAAGGAGGCATGTTAATTATCTTTCTTGCATAGAGCAAAAGCTAATATGATGTAGTGTTATTAAATAATTATTTTATTTAAGATGATATTAGTTGATCAATTACTTTAAAAGTTGAAGATAAAAGTACGTAAAAGGGTTTACAAACACAAAAAATGGTATTTTTTTTATGACGTAAATGGATATTGGATATCCATCATGGTTAGATCGATGAATAACGAACTTGTGTGGCATATCTAATGTAACTTATCAACTGAAAACTAAATACAATTAAAGAAGGGAATGAAGTTTTGTCGATCTTGTTCACTTGTTACTATCCACTACCATGTATCAAGAATATGAGACCAAGATCTTCTCGTTATTATGTACAATACTATATATCTAATATTATCTCATTATCTTCCACCAAACAAGCAGGTGGGGGTGGTGGGCCTTTGATGGTTGCATTTCTCTGAAAGAGATTAATTGGGATGGGGTACCCTTCAAGCATTGGCTCGACCTTTTCAATACTTCTCTTGTTAGCTTTCCTTTCCAATACTTCAGAGTTTCTAGGGCAACAATTTTATTTTTGTAACAAAAATTGTATAAATTATTTTCATTTAGTTAATAGGAGACATAAATGCACATTACTCTTGTGAACTAAATTGTATTTCTTTAATTAATTGACTCATTTAAGGGGTGGGAGTAGTTGTGTCAAAATAGACAATCGGTCGAAGCCTGGTTGGCAGACCTTATGCAAAATTCTTTTTCATTCTAAAGCACATTAAAATCACATGCAATAAAAAAAAAATCAATAACTCACTCATGTTTACACAAANTGCAAAATTCTTTTTCATTCTAAAGCACATTAAAATCACATGCAATAAAAAAAAAATCAATAACTCACTCATGTTTACACAAAATAGGAAATATTACCTCACAATCGAAGTACATACCTAATTTTCTGCATATCACATGGTGTGAATAGACGAGACTTCAAAGAGTATTCAAAATAACATTTTGGGAATCAGTAAAAAGTCGAACTTCGTAGAAAAAAGAAATACGAAATTCGATTTGCATGTGGCCATAATGTCATCTCAACTACCCAAGAAAACCTCTTCCAACCTTTGAAATACTGAAAACAGTTGAAAAACTGGGTACTTTTAGCACACTGAAATGTAGTAATTTCTCTATATTTGTATTCTGAACTGCCATATTCCTTAAAGGAAAAGTGCCTAAGCCAAAATTGTAATTTGTCTTAAGAAAACAATGCCCCCACCCCATAACACAGACTCACCTCCACAATGTGTTTTCCTTCTAGTTTAGTAAAATGAGAGATTGAGCACCACCGGCGTTTACACTTTTTCGATTATTTTTATGTATTAGGGCTCGAGTTCGTGCCTAGTATGAAGGGTATACTGTTATATATTGTTCGTAATTAATTCGTAAGAATTTACGTTTATTGTTATCGACTAAGTAGCAGTTAACAAAATAGTAGAGGCCCAAAAGCATAAGGAGCTGCTTTCAAGATGATTTCATAGGGATCTGAGTTCTGATGAAAATCTCTGGATACTGAACTTTCTTGCTGTCAACTGGCATCACACCTTGTAGTACCCAGAGAAAAGCGCACACATGAACTTACGAATTGGACCACAATGGTGGAGATTCGTAAAAGTTTAAACTGTTAAAAAGATGACATATTTATTTAATTAACAAATTAGTCTGCATGACTGATTCATTTTTCATCTGAAATGCATAATTTGTTAAATAATTATTTTTATGATTCTAATACTGTATTGAAGTATTCACATAGATAGACTATATCTAACAATTTGATTGAATGATGTCCATGACAAGAAGACGTATAGAATAAATGAAATAATCTCCAAAGTCAGCAATTATCATAGTCTATCGTAGATCTCACGCCTTTGTACCCTCATTCAATCTTATCTTTTTCTTGTTGACTTGCTTTGAGTTGAGCTCACTTTCGATCAAGTTGAAAGTGTTCGTAACATAGTCAATTCACTGAATTTAATTGTATTGAATGTCTTTTTACACCAAATTAAATGGGACAACAATGTTGTGGGGATCTAAAACCTTGGCAGTGGTTGGGTTGTTGCCCTCAATGGTGTGTGTGCACAAATTCCAGCTAGGGTTTATCAATTATGATAATAAGGCCTCAAATGGACCACCCTAAGGGATTCAGTTTTGCAGAGTGCTACTACCTTAGGGTGGTCCTATAATTGATTTATGATCAAAATAAGTTAATTAAAAGTGATTTTTATGGACTGCCATCTTCTGCACTGTTGTACATTTTTAGCAGAAAGTTATAATTTCTTTCTTCAATGTTTGTACAAACAAAATTATAATGATTGTAAAATATGCTAAATTCTCTAAAAGACAAAAAAAAAAATATTTAAAAAAGCTTTTTCCGGTTAAGAAATAAACAAAATATGGACCCAGGTAGAGTCTTCGGGACTTATTTTGGGCTGGATTACTTATGCAAAACTTGGCACCGATTTGGACTGAAAGTTGAGAATGGACCGAGATGGAATGTTTCACTAAGTTTAAGAATTGGGCTCACTGCTACCCTCATAGAAAATTGTCATAAATAGCATTAAATAATACAAGACCACAATTTCAGCAATTCTCCTTTTTCTTTTTTCTTTTTTACTGAGATTTTCGTACCTTTTGAATGAGTTTAAGTACATTTTGAAGAGGAAAAAAGAACCTAACACTGCCAGACGTTACCATACGAAATGAAGAAGCATTTGTTTTTATTCATTTTATTTATAATATTAAGATTTTTATCTTATTTCGGACCAAAATTTTTTAAATTAATATCAATTTTATATTTTAATTACTCATCTAACGATGAAATCTCCGTTAACTAATTAAATTTATTGAATATTTAGTTTTTAATTATTACTAACAGAAATTTCATTTGTGATCTTAAATTAATTATTACTGTTATTTAATGAGGATGGAGAATATCTTAGAAACAATTTAATAATTTATACATTGATAAATATCGTTATATGTCAGTATATGTTAAGCGTTCTTTCAATATTGATAAAATATGGGAGACATTTTATAAGTTTGTATAAATCATTAAAATATACTCTCTGATGATTAATTAAAAGATATTTATTTTTTGAGCAATGAATAATTTTTTTGATTTTAAGACATCAAATGAAACTTATATTTTAAGAAATAATAATTAATTTGTAATAGGCTGGACCTTTCTTAGCTTTTATACTAGATTTCCCCTTTTTATTAAAAAAATAAAAAATAAAAAAAAAATGGGCACACTATCTATATTAAACTATGCAACACATCATATTCATTTAACCTAAAATCATTTCCTTCAACAATCATGATCAATATATGCTAATGATGTTTGTTTAATGACTACCTCGCCAAGACAATTAAAAAAGAACACTTGATTTATTTATTTATTTATTATTATTTTATTTTATTTTTTGTGGCTGTAAAAGCTAATCATCGTGCAAACGATGTCATGGTTAAATTATCATCTTGGCTCGATACAGTGTTTTTTCAAAGTTGTATATTGTGTAAGGAGTTCATGTCTTGGCTCAACAATTTGTTACTTGTTTGTTAAAGTGGTCTTGACACGATCACAATTGAGTGTTAACCAACTTTTTTGTTTCGATTTCCAAATTCAGTTTGTTATATTTAAATCTTGATTAACTCTTAAGCTGATCTACTATTAAATAAAAGTTTTTGGTGAGATTATATTAGGGAAATTATTGAAAGAATAACCAGTGATAAATAATTAGAAGTTAAATCCCAATGACATCTTACTTAACTTTGCAGAAGATTAAAAATTAAAACTAAACGTATATAATGGATTACAGAACCATTCTTCCTGTGTTAAGCACTATTTGAATTGCTTTCCTTTTTCCCATAAACTGCAACATCATCATAAAAATTAAGGGAAAAAAGGAATTATTGTTGTAATAATTATATTTAATGAGTCTCGAGTTCATCTTATGTCAATATTTAAGGACTTAAGCTACTAATTTTATAATGGAATTCGAAGATAACGAGCAATTTGATCCATCTAAAACTCATACAAGCAATCAAATTTGAAAACTGATATCTTCTAAATGAGCATTATTTTGGAAGGCATGTTGATGGTAAAATTTATCGAGTTAAATATAAAAGTATTAACCAAAATATAAGGGTTTAATGAAATCCTCTTAATTAGATTGAATTTTTTTTTTTTTTTTTGGGTGATGTCTTACTCTGTTCTGAAGAGTGTATTTTAAAATTTCATCTCTTTTTTCTATTTTCTGTATATGTCATGTTATTTTAACTGATACTTTCTCATGAACTATAGTGTATTTACTCGATTATTTTATTTGTTTTGTCTTCAACAGATTGGAGTTATATGACCTGGTTGAACGAGAAATTTCAGGGGATGGTAATTGCCAGGTTGGTTCCCCACATTCTCGCTGGATCCAAATTTATAACAAAATATTTATTCATCATTTCCAATTTGAAGGCAATTGTAGTTGATAGGTTACATATTAATAAATATTTTTAGTTCAAGTGAGTTTGGGTGATCTCTACCTCTTGGTATATCTTCCTCATGTTTTGGTACTTCTTGTTGAACCTACGGCTTACGATCCTCCCTGTCTTTCTGCAGTTTCGTTCATTATCAGATCAAATATATCGTACTCCCAAGCATCATAAATTAGTGAGAGAACAAGTTTTGTACCAGGTTTTTGAGCGTTTTGATTGGCTTCAAGATATCTTCTTACTTGGCTTCTAATTCGTTTCATTCTTTTCAGTACAATACATCTATTCACATTATGATTTTTCATTGTTTCTACGTGCCAATCATCAGCTGATGTCCTATCGAGAGCTGTATGAAAATTATGTTCCAATGGCTTATGACGACTACTTGAAGAAAATGAGCAAGTACAGTTCCATTTTGCATCTTTCTTGGCATTTGTGCTTCCTCTTCAGTAGACTGTATTTACTTATATAATCAATTTGACGTGATTATAGGACAGGCGAATGGGGGGATCATGTCACATTGCAGGCTGCTGCAGACACTGTATGATTATTTCCTTCCCTTTCTCTCTATTGCTTTACTGAAGTGTACTCTTGTTTGTAAGTGAAACACCTCAGACGGAATTAACTCGAGCAAGTGAAATTATCCCACCTTAAAACTTACTTAGAAATGTCTGTTTTCTTATGCCCTATATATGCTCTTTTTACACTTCGCTTCGAATTTTTGTTACAGGATGTCTTTGATCTATTTTTTTCCAACTGTGGCTATTTTGCACAATAAATTTCCGATTTACAATAGGCTAATAATTAGCGAATGGTTCTTATTTGGTGACAGTATGGCGTCAAAATATTTGTCATTACGTCGTTTAGGGATACCTGCTATATTGAGATTCTTCCAAATACTCTGAAGTCAAACAGAAGTAAGCTTCTTTTTTTTTTTTATTGGGGCAAGTTTATTTCACCATTTAATGTTCCATTTTTAGGCCATGTTTGAGCCACATTCTTTTAAAAAAATACATTCTTAAACAGTGATTTGACATTATTTCAATCATACGTTTTTCAATAAAATAATATTACACGTAAATTCAAAACTTTTCCTTATTTTTTAACAAAACATTTCCCATTAATACATCATTCAAAAATGCATTTTTACAAAAATAATATGACTCAAACAAGGGCTTAATGAGATTTTCTGGGCATTTGTTAAGTCCTAATCACTACCTTTGATCAATGCAGTGATATTTTTGAGCTTCTGGGCGGAAGTGCACTATAACTCTATTTATCCGCGAGAAGGTAAAAGATTATTCTATCTTTATTTTTCCTTCGGTTCATGCTATTACATCTTATCTTTTCTTTTCTTTTCTTTTCTTTGAAAAAATAGAATATCTTAGAGGAGGAAATGCCGATGAAGGCAAGGGGAGTTTTACCTCTAAAAGGAGAGAGAGAGTCAGTTTGGTAGAGAGTGAAAGTAAAGGCACATCTTATATGGAATATTCGGAAGGTAATGGGCGTTTAATTGGTTGGATTCAGTTTGTATTCCTTAATATTGCTTCTGTTTTGCAGAATTTCCTGTATTGGGGAGCAAGAAAAAGAAGAAGTGGTGGAAAGCCTGATTATTAGCTTGTTTTGTGCATGCAGTTCTGATGTAATTCATACATTTATTCTGTTATTAAATGTTGATATACATATTTTTTAGTACATTTTTGAACTTTGCAACTTTCAAGATTCAAGTAGGCAGTATATTTTTCTTAGTTTTCAACTACGTTCTTTTTTTTTTTTTTTTTTT